TACAACACATCACCTCTTGATTTTGAAGTATCTTGGGAAGTTTTCTAAATCTTCTACAGTGAAAACAGACACAAAATACCTGTTCAACACTTCCATCATTTCCTTATTTTCCATTGTTAATTCCCTGGACCGACTCTTCAGAAGACCAACACTAGCTTTAGTTATATTCGTATTTGAATACTTGTTGAAACTCTTATTATCTACCTAGCTTTTATATTCTAGCTAGTCTGCTACTACACCTTGATTGTCCTTCCTCTTAACCTAGTTTTCCTATTTCCACTAGCCAGACCACTGTTGCTAAATAATCTGACTCCGGTACTGGATAAGCAGAAATTTCCTTCAATTTAATATTGGGAAGATTGAAGCCATTGTCTTCCATTCTCACCAAAAACCCTGGTCCTCAGCCACAACTCTATTTCTTTCCCTAGCAGCTATCTGAAACTGAACCAGATTGTTTGCAAATGCAGTGTTATTTTAGACTCTAAGCTGAGTTTCTGACCACATGTTCATTCTATTACTAAAACTGTTTGTTTCCGTCTCAGTGTTTTCACCCAACTTCAGCCCCTGCCTTACCTGTCTGCTGTCAAAACTCTCATGAATCTATTACTTCTAGACCTGACTAATCCAGTGCATTCCAACAAACATGAGTCAGGCAAACCTGTTGCCCATATCATTCCGTGCACCAAGTCCCATTCACCTATCATCCCTATGATCACTGGCACACATTGGCTGCTGGGCTTGATTTACAATTCTTTCCCTTCAAATCATTTCATGACCCTGTCCGTCCCTTCCTCCCTATCTTTGTTTCCTTCAGCCCCAACATGTAAAGCTCCTTTAATTCTGGTCTCCTGAGTTGGATTGGGGCACATCTTCCATTTCCTAAGCATGGAACATCCCCTCTAAGCTCCTCCACTCAATTTATGTCACTATAAAAACAAAGAATTGTGGATGCTAGAAATCAGAAATAAAATCAGAAATTGCTGGTAAAAACTGAGCAGGTCTGGCAACATGTGTGGAGAGAAAACAGAGTTAATGTTTTGGATCCAGTCACCCTTCTTCAGAAAAAGTGTCACTGGACCTGAAACATTAACTCTGTTTTCTTTTCATTAATTCCTGATTTTGCTTCTACAATCTGCCCTAATATTGATTTAGGTTGGCTGTCTAATAAATACTCCTGTGAAATATCTTGACAGTTTTTTCCATTAAGTTAAAAGGTTTTTGTAACTATAGGTTAGAATATAACAATTCCACAAACTGCACATTTAAACAGCAAGCTCCTCACCACATCAATGCTTATGCTCAATATCTACCAACTGGGTATTGCTGCGCATGTGCAGTGTCCATGGCACGGGCGGGAGGCGGAGCCTGCACCGCGCATGCTCAGTGTGGCACGGTCAGCTGACTGGTCAGGTGGTGTGCACCAGCTGTGTTCCTGATCTCTGAGACGGCTTCTCGTTCTCCATTTCCAACATGGGCTCTTTTAACGAACTCTACTTCAATGTGGACAATGGTTACCTGGAGGGGCTAGTGAGAGGCTTTAAGGCCGGCATCTTGTCGCAGGGTGACTACCTGAACTTGGTGCAGTGCGAGACCCTGGAAGGTGAGCGAATGCCGGCCTTGGGCCCGGTTGATATTTTGGGAGGGACAGGGGCCTGCTCCCGGCTCCAGAGTTATCCATTTGATTTGCTGATCCCAGGTTGGCCCTCTGCAAGAACAACTCAACTAGTGTCACCTGTGACTTTTTTTTTCCGTGCAGATAATTTGCTAATTGCCATTTGAAAGTCACATTAAATCTGTTTCCACACATGCAGTGCATTCCAGATCCTGAGCACCCGATTTTTGATTCATTTTCCAGTCATTTTAAATCTGTGTTCTGGTTCTCAACCTTTCTGCCAATAGGAACTTTATTCCTACCTGTCTGTTAAAGGACCTCTCCTATGATTATAATACTGTCACATCTCCTAAACGTTCTCTTAGGAGCCTAACCCCAGCTTCTCAAATACAGGAACAAAAACAAAGTTGCTGGAGAAGTTCAGCAGGCCTGGCAGCATCTATGATTAAAAAAAATCAGAGTTAATGTTTTGGGTCTGGTGACCCTTCCTCAGAACGCTTCCCCAGCTTCTCAAATTTGTGCATATAATTGAAATACCCCATTCCTGTGAATCTTATTGGCATCTTCCTTAAAGCTCTTACATCCTTTCTAAAATATATTGGTCAAGAATGGATGTGTTACTCTTAATAATCTGAGCCAGCGTTTTGTAAAAATGTTTTAATGTTCTTGCTTTTATGTAGTTTACCTCTGTTTACAAAGCTCAAAGTCAGAAGTCACATGGCACTAGGTTATAGTCCAACAGGTTAATTTGAAATCACAAGCTTTCAGAGCACTACTCCTTTGTCAGGTGAAGGTGCTCCTGAAGCTTGTGGTTTCAAATAAACCTGTTGGACTAAACCTGGTGTTATATGACTTCTGACTTTGTCCACCCCAGTCCAACACCAACACCTCTACATCATGGCTACAAAGCTCAAGATATCTTCTACCTTTTTAAATTCTCAACCTCTGCCCTACTACCATCAATGATTTCATGTTCCCTTTAGAACTGTTTTTTCACTGCAGCTCCTCAATTTTGCTTCCAAAGTGCATCGTGCATTTTTCTGCATTCACTTGCATGTGCTGCATGTCTGCCCATTCTACCAGCTTGTTTTCATTCTATATTCACAGTTCACAATGCTTCCAAGTTTGCTGCCATCTGCAGATTTTTCAACACAGAGCTCTTATATTCCCAAGCCTGTCACTAATTTATATCAAGAAAAAGGCATAGTACCAAAACCTAGGGAATTCCACTGTATACCTTTCTACAGTTGAAAAGTGACTTTTCACTGCCACTTGGCAAACCTTATATCCATTCTTTTATTCCATTCTGTTTGGTATCGCTGATGAGCCTTTTCTGCAGCTTTTCTCAAATGCCTTTTTGAAGCCATTAACATCACATCATGAGTACTCTAATCAACCACCACTTATCTCATTTGCAAACTCAGTCCAACGTGATGTGAGAATGACTGCCCTTGACATCAAAGGAATATTTGACTGACTATGGCATCAAGGAGCCCTAGTAAAACTGAAGTCGCTGGGAATTGAGGAAGATTCTCTTCTGGTTGCAGTCGTTGCACAAAGGAAAATTGTTGTCTTTCTTGGAGCTCTTCTGTCTCAGTCCCAAGACTCCTTTG